TCTTTCAAGGTCACATTAATTCTAACGCTGTCACCTGAAAAGTGACTAACCATTTGTTTTCAGGTTACTGATTTGGGTTTGAAGCATGTCTGGTCATTCACCTCCCTCGTGTTGCTATGAGCCTGCTGCCTGCATACGTCTCCCAGCGCTTTGTTGAGAGTTTAGTTATACGATTTAAGGGGAAGTTTTCAAATCACTTTCTCTGCCCTTCACTAAATTTGGTGATAACCCCAGGGACTGATTCAATAACAAATATTTTCTTTCCCTGCCCTGATCTCTCAGTATGTGGAGATGGCAACCTAGTTAAAACCTACTCATCCATCGTTCCTAGGCACTAATGGTTGTGGTGAGAGCTTTTTACTGACACAAGAGCAGAGCAAAGTTGATTAGAGGACTGCTTCTTGTGCGGCATCTTTTGCCCCTTAGACTATATTTCAAATGGGTAATAAGTGAATTAGGTGATGAGAAACTACCACTGTCTGGCTGGATCAGATCTGATATGAGTTTGTGGGTTCTCAGTCCACTACTTGGGCATGTGTCCCTAAAAATACAACTGTGGCTCATTAGCTGCCTGGCTGGGAATCTTGGAGAAAAGTGCAGGGAAGACGGGACTCCTGTATAACCCCAAAAGCTGGTCTCTTCATGGCTGGATTGAAGTGGAGCAGATGACAGTTGTGATTGCTGTTGCCTGGGATGTACTTGTTCTGCAGTTGCAGAGACTTCAGAGCTGCCCATCTTCCACCTCGCATGCAATAACTATAATGTTGAGAAGAAAGGAGGTTGGAGGAGAGGAGCCATACAGAGCCCTTCCTGCTTCTGTTGAGCTAGGTGCTAGCCTGTTGATTCAGAGCACACAGCCAATGATGTTCCATGAAATAAAACTTCAGCCTATGCAGAAACTTAGTTTTATTGTCCCTTAACACCCCCTCCCCCCCATCCCCCCAAAACCCCAACAAATGAAAAAACCCTCCAGCATAGGTGGCCTCTAGATAGTGAGCCTGAGGCATCTCCATTTGGGCACAGGCATCATGTGAAATGTGGTGCCATTTCCTGGTAGCTGAAACTAGTGCCCTCTCAATTAGGTAATTGAAACCAGGCATGTAGCAGTATCTTAGCAAGGGCTCCTTGTTATCAGGAGGAAATCTGGGAGGTGTGGGACTTCTTGAAAGGCGAGTCAGTGCCTGCCTGCCTTAGGTGGAAAAGTATCACAGGAGGAAAGGACTTTTCTTCTGGCTATTCATATTTTTCACATGCATCACATGGGGAGTCATGAGGCTCTGCTGGCTGCTTGCACTTTTCTCTCCGGCTGTTGCAAGGTCAGGGAACTGTTCCATTCCCACGCTGGTTGCAGATCAGCCACACAGACAATAAATGCCTTTTTGTCAGATGCAGGGTTATTGCTTTGGCCTGTCTGCATGTGATTCTGCTGTTTATGAGTCTTCAAAGGGTGTTGTACTGAAGGGGGTGAAATATACCCTTGTGCTGATGTGCCCCTTGGGCAGGGGTGCCAAACATGGCCTGTGAGCCAAAGCTGGCCCGAGGAGCCGTCTCATCTGGCCTTCAGGGCTTGGGTCTGGGAATTTTGGAACGGGGTAGAAGGGGTGAGGCCACGTTGGGGATGGAAGTCAGTGGTGAGAGGTAAGTGACAGCTGCATTAACTCCCATAGGTCCTTAATGCCACTTGCTCTGCCTTTGGAGGTGGGTCTGTGAGGATCCCTGTGGTCTGGACCCAGCTCAGAGGGCCAAGCCAGTTCAACATCCCTGCCTTAGAGCTTTATAAAAGGATAAACCACTCTTCTGGAGAAAGGACTCAAAGAAGAGGATTTCCATCCTTATTCCCCTAGCATTTGGGAGTGCAGGGAGTGAAGTTTCAGAATAGGTCTAGACCCCTTTCTAACTAAAGAAGCAATGTGGCATCACTGAAGCTAGGGCTTTCCAGGTAGTTAAGCCATCTTTCCCTGCCATGATACCTTCCATAAGTAAGGTGACCAACTGTTAAGGACTGGAATCTGGGATGCTGTGATCTATTAGCAGCCCCAAAACTACCGGTGGGCAGTTGGTTCTAGGGCCCATGCAACCACATGGCCGTGGCTCATGAATTCAGGTCTTGATCAGGATGCTGCCTGGTACCGAACATTTTTAGTACTGAACCAGGACTAAGCAGGCCTAAGGTCCCCATTGCAGAGGCCTTGAGAACACCAAGACCCAGCCCCAAAATTCAGGACTCCAAGGAGAAAAAATCAGCAGTCTGCTCACAGTACCC